TTTTTTTTTTTTATCGGACTGATAATATTTTTACTATTTTATTTGTATTTTAAATTACTTTTGCCACGAACTCATATTCCTAATAATTTATTTACGATTCGGTCCATTACAGAATATCAAATATTACTATTACTATCGTTATTATTAATATGAATTACGATTATTATCATTATTCATTATTGTCCGACAAGCGCTCAAAAACCATCATAAAGTTATTGTAACGTCTATTCTCCTGCAGCTGTAAATACCAATGTATATAACACGCCTATAACACGCATTCGCTTCGTCCGGGAGACTCTGTGACGGCCTAGCGAAATATTTTACTGTCGRAACGCATAACTTACCTACTGGGTAGTAAAAAGTAACAAAAAAAAGTAAAGATGAAAATAAAAACTCATTTCACGGTGGTGCAAACTTTGACGACTGCTGAAGAAAAAATAAAAATAATATGTCGACCGAATAATAATGTTATAATATTATTACACCGAGCGCCAAGGACGTGCAGCGTATTTTACCTTTAACAACCTGCCTGTGTGTAATAATCACATTATGCTTAAAAAAAATCCTCCGCTTAGATCCGTGGAATGGTGAGAAAGATAGGAGGGAGGGTCAAAGGGGACACGTTATAGTTTTGCCCTTCTCCTACTACCTGGGGGCCGCCTGATGTCAATAGGTTGATTTGATTTTTGCATAGTCACGGCGCCGTGTTACACATACATATTATTATTATACATAATATTATATTAACATGATTATTATACACGCGCACGCGTTGCAGACAACGCTGCCGAACAACCGCGGCGGTCGATTATACTTAAACACGTCCGTCTCCGAATAACTACCACCACCAGCATAGGTATATCTGCGAATTTCAGAAATCGTTAAAAAATGTTACCCAATATATAGGTACTTGAAATACACTTATTATTATCGAGTCTCAAATATCGACTTCTGAAACCTCGTGATTATTTTTTGGTTCTATGGTTTCGGTTTAAGTCTATTTAAAACAGAAAATATACCTAATCAAGGGTTAATACCAAAAAATCAAGGTTTCTTTGAACATAAAAAAATAGCGCCTTTTAAAAATATATTTGATTTGATTTGCACGCATCAAACTAATACTTTGCAATGGCTAATGGTATGTTAATCAGAATAAATAATCTAAAATACAATATTAAAAAAAGAATTATTCAGAAAAGTTAAACAAATTTCATATATTCGTAGTACCATTAGGTACCTATTTATATTGGTGCGTCGGTGGACAGCGGTATCTTTAATGATATTTCTTTTATATACACTGACTTCTATAGAAAGTGTATTCTCGTTAGATTTTGTAATCAACGATATATCTATTGCAAGGGTTGTAGATAGTTTTCATGGCTATAGAACACCTTCGTCATTATTATTATTATTTGTCGAGATAATTAAAAATTGTATTTTTCTTAGAGTTCAGTTGTGTCGAGACGACCGCATCATATATTATAAACATATAATATACATTTTATTGTTTGTGGTATTTGTACTTGTATAGCCCATTGAATATTAATATCAATTGTTCGCGTCCACATTTAAGGGTTGGGCGTCAGTCGTACCATCATTCACGGCCATACTATACGCTTGATAGTTTAATTTTTTAATTTAATTTTTTTTTCTACCAAGACGTTCGTTATGGTTGTGACATAATTTYCGATTTGATAAACTTTCGAGTAGGTATATTTATACGATATGTTTTATAGGTTTTCTGCATTTGTTGATTGCGTTATTTTTAAAAAGAATAAAAT